AATTATCTCTGGACTTACCCGAATAATATATAGACGCCACAGGAACGACCAAAAAAAAAAAAAAAACAGCTTGACACTTAATAATACTCTCCACGGCTCTGGTCACGAAATCTCTCCCTTACTCTATCCCTCCGAGCCTCTGGATCTCTCGGGTTCCCAGATCCGTGACTTTGACCCGCGCAACCATCATATCTCACGCCACGAGCGATCTACGCGCGTTTACTCTTACCCATCTTTCATCCCCCCCCCCACGTCACCGAATTCTACTTGTTTAGTTACTCGTTCACCCTCGCCCGTTTAGCTTCGTTCATTGGGTCGCACGATATCTTTTTTTTTTTTTTTTTTCATACAATCAAAAAAAAGGGCTAAAACGACGTCCCCCGATTAAAAAAAAAAAAAAACAAATGCAGACAATGTGTATTGGTGGCTGAATCGCCATATCAGCGCATAACAGTTGTTCCGTCAAGTAGAGAATGAATTTTGTTAGCTATACACGCGCGAGGTCATCGTCGTCACCGCTACAACCGGCACCCCCCGTCGTCCGTCGTCGCCGTCGTCGCCGTCGTCGCCACCGGCGTCGTCGTCGCGAACAATGGCAAATGTCTGATGTAGTTAAAAAAAAAAATAAAAAAAATACACACGGTAGATGCGTGCACGTCTTCCGGAAGTTGAAAATCAAAAAGTCGAGGAAAGAATTGTGTCTGTCCCAGGATCCTCCTCAGCATAGTGTAATGGCCTACACGGTGTAGGATAAGTCAGGGCAGGAGCCAAGCGTGACTATGGAAAAAGAGAAAGAGACAGTGATACGTACGAGAAGGTACGTAGGTGTTATCCAGGAGATGATCCAAGAGTGGGACCGAGAGAGAGAGAGACCGCGCGTCCTACATACTGGATACTGTTGTGATGGACAGAGAAGAAGAAAAGGACAGGCAGTGACAAAAAGTGAAGAGAGAGAGAGAGAGAGAGAGTCTCACGGAGAAGCCGAGAGTCCGTCGTCATCGTCATTGAAGTCTACCTGCTTAAGAACACCTGCTCTGAGTACGGTTGAGGCCTGTGGCTGCTGGTCTGGATAAGGGATGCCGCGAGTGAGAGAGACTGTGGGCTGACTGAGTGCGTGCGTGTGAGAGAGATAGAGATACAAAGTACGTATATATGCAAGTATGTATGTTGGATGCTTGGCTGGATGAATGGGATATGGGGATTATACGTGGCTAAAGTGTTGAGGGTAGAAGAGAGAAAGAGAAAGAGCGACAGAGGGAGTGTGCCTGATAAGAAGACGAGAGAGAGAGAGAGAGAGAGAGAGAGAAAAGGAGGATTCCCGCGGTGTATGTAAGGAAAAGGCGCGCGCGCTGGCCTCCAAACACATTGTTTGCACTCCGCTAAGCTTTGCTCCGGCTGTCCGTCGTCTCATCATACCTGTGTGTATGCGTAGCACTAGTTGCTCCTCTTCGGTGACTAGCGTCGTTTCTTTGATGGCTAGAGCTATAGAAACGGATGCTGAATACGTCCAAATGCGTCCCGAGCTTCTTCATTTGTCCAAGATGAATGTTGCTAATGTAAGGGATAGGGAAAAAAAAAAAAATAATAATGGCTTGATCGTCTGGAGATCGTGCGTATGGCGTGGTATGGTCTTTTATCACAAGTCTTTGAAAAACAAGAAATTATTTTAAAAAAAAAAAACAAAGCGATACATAGACCCACTTCTATGATCTTCCGGTTTTTTTTCTTTTTCTTACTTTTTTTCTCTCTCTCTCTCTCTCTCTTTCCATTCGGATCGCCATTCGCTGCCGCTATTCCTGCTCTGCTGTCTCCAGCGCCGTATACCCACCCTATCCTCACCTACTTCCCCTACACCGTCTTCTCTTCCATTTATTAATTCCTGTTCCAATTAAGATCGAATATCAATTCTTGAATTGTCGTTCGATCGCGACGGCTTTTTTTTTTTCCTACGATTGAAGCGTTTACAAGGCACGAACATACCGCACCGTCACGCGACATTCTCACTCATTGCCGATGCTTACGATGTAACCTGTAATATTATTTTAACCCGTCCTTATCGATGCACTTTTAGAGATCTTTTTATACGAGTATAAGACGAAGGTAGTTGAGCGAACGAGAGATTGAGCGAATATATATATATATATATGTGTGTGTATATATATATGTATGTGTATATATATATTTGAAGAGTGTGTCGGAGCGAGTGAGAGCGCGTGATTGAACCGAGTGTGTTACGCGAAGCGAATAAACGAGAAAACCGAGTGAGAAAAGAAATTGGATTGACGATGATGATTAATTGCGGGGATAAAATATTGTTTTTATATATATATATATCTTTGTGTAAATGTGTCTACTCCATGATAGCGTTTTTGTTGAGATATCATGTAAATTTAGTTCTTATATTATACGTATATAGGAGAGGTATATAGATAATAATAAGAAGAAGTCATTATTACACAGTGATAAAGGGAGATTCAGAGCGAGAAAGAGAGAGAGAGAGAGAGCCAAGGTGTGCGTGTGTGAAGAGATAGATAGAGAGCGAACGAGAGGGTGTAGAATATTCATCAATTTCTCACTATCGATTGATTCTCGAGCGTTTCTCTGGTTTATATATTATATATATATATATATATAATTATATATAAATATAAATGTCAGCGTGTGTGCTGTTCGAAAGCTATAAAGGAGAAGCATCGAGAATTGTCCGAGTTGCACGCAAAGTACAACTAAAGAATATTGTCATTTTATCATAGGATCGTTTATTATTATTTTTTTTTAAATGATTTTTTTTTAATCATTGTCTATTCTTTGTCGCTTCCTTCGCAAAGGATAACAGTCATATTCCTTAGCAGCAGCGTACTTAAGAGCCCGAGATAGGCGAATAATCAATTATTACTACTAACCTCAAATCCGATCGAGTAATCTGATTGGTCAGCAAAAAAGTGTTCGTTCATTTCTAAGTAAAGTATATAAAGTAAATTAATTAATTAAAAGAGGAAGATGAAGAAAAAAAAGGAGGAGGAAAAGACGCGCAACAACCTGGGAGCGCGTTTTTCTTCGGAAATAGATAGTGAACCCTGTCGGACGTTAATTTGGATTTGAATATCGCGCGAATAAAATTGCACGTGGAGAATGGGTCGGTGGGGTCCGCGAATAATTAGTTAGTGTACCGGAACAAAAAAAAAAGACAAAATATTACAAACAAATTGACAGCGTGTGTACGCTGACTTAGATAGAGAAGTATGCATCTTATTAAGATACAATTACCGACTATACTTGTAAACGCGAGGTATACATATAGGGCATTTTATAATAACTATACTTCTTGTATTGCCTTCCAACAAAAATTTCTCTAGATTTTATTCGATACGCTAGGCAGACCAGATGCATCGCCGTTCGCTAATTCTTCCATTTGTAACGTTCTTTTCTTTCTTTTTTTTTTTAATGCACTCATGCCAGATCCATTCTTCTCTACCCGCATCTTCTATCCTTCTCTCTCGTTGCACCCACTCGAACAGACTACAAATGCACACGTGGGAACAGAGACAGACAATTGTATACATACAGGAACAGATGTGACGTACAAGGAAAAACGGCAAAAATCAATTGTTAAACTTGATTTTTTTTTTTTTAACGACCACGCGATCTTTTATCACTAACCGTAGGCACGTAGGTTAGGTTACATCAAGCGTGTTTTTTTTTTTTTTTTTTTTTTCACTATATTTATATATTTTGTCCACGACCACCGGCCGCCGCCACTGCGAACGTTTTTCCTCTTTGTCGCGCGTTCGCGTCCCGTGTCCCGGCGTTTATTTTTTTTTTTTTTCTATTTTATTTTCGAAAATATCACGAGAAACAACGGATGCACGCATTGTACATAGTAAATACTAATATATCGTAAAGTAATTAAAGATAGCCGTAAGTTACAGCGTGACTTATGCGCGCGCGTGTGCACACACATGCTACACATTACACGCACGCTGCACGGAGAGACAAGACGCGTAAATTTGACGCGTGTGTAATACAGCTGTCAGGCGTTAATCGCACGTGCGTGTACGCGCTGAACCGCATATGTAATAAGAGTGTGAAAATATAAGGATGAGAGAGAATGTGTGTTTGAGGTGAGCGAGTATGAACGTTAGAGGAACTATATATATATATATATATATATATATATATATATATATATATATATAGAGAGAGAGAGAGAGAGAGAGAGA